TTTTTTTTAGGAATGGGCTTAGAATGAGGTCACAGCTGACGTATGTCTGACGGTTAACTACAAGACCCCAGACTGCTGCCTACGCGCTAAGACCTAATACAGGCCCTTCTTAGTGAGTTCAACATCGCCATCGCTGCTGCTCCACGATTGTACGTCATCACTCAACGAAGCTAAAAGACGTAATGGAGTAGGGTGGCATCTCGAAGTGTGTGTGATAGGTTTTTAGCCCACTGGTAGATTGATATTTAGGGGATATTATGGACTTAGGTGTAGCTGGGAGAGTCATGCGGAGACTTTTTTCAACAAATATTAGGAAGTAGCATCATTGGACTCAGAAGGCAAATCAGAGAATGAAGATGCGTATGCACATTTTGAAGGCTATGCCAGAGGAAAGTGAACTAACAGCATTTTGCCTTATATCCAAAATGCAGAAGCCTAGATAAAATAGAAGAAGATTTGGTTTCTTTTAGGGCAAATTTTCCATAGGCTTCATTAGACCAGGCGAACAGGCAGCTAGATGGTAGGACTTTGAACTCAAACTACTGGGTTCTGTAACTATGGGAACATCCCGCGTATCAGACATATTGGCTATGCTGAGATGAGGGTTGGAGAGATGCGTTAACGGTTATGCGGACTAGGAGAACAGGGGAGGGTAAATAGCACCTAAAGATAGACATAGAAACACTGTCAGACGTTGTTTAAATGTGGTGTCTGAGTGAGTGAAGTCTGATTTATATCGGTTGGGCCGCTAGCATGTTTGTTCCGCCCCAAACAGTAGGAACGCGAACGCAACTTTTCAGTTTTCCGCACTCTTGTCCCGTGACAAAATATGGTGGACTCTATAGCAACAGTCACCGTCGCTTTTAAGGTTGCTCGGCGACCGTACTTCATCAGTAGGAAGTTACAAGAAGTAGGATGGTATCTCGCCTAAACTGAAACTGGTTTTTACTGATCTAAAGCGAAGAAGGAGAAGAAAATTCGAGACATGGGCAGAAAATAATAGCAAAAACGGGTGATACTTGCACAAGAAGCTGCAGTATTTATAGGACACCGTCATTACTGCCCACATATGACAAATAACGGCAGTTAACTATAATTGCCCTAATGTGCGTGGATTGTTTGATGAACGTCTTGCGGGCCGTGACCTAGTGGACTTGCATCACCCGTGTTGGAACTGAATGTGATTCTGCTACTGCTTTCTACTCATATCTCTGATGAAGAATCCGCGACGGATGCGAAACGTCAGGCGAATAAAAGTATTGTTCCAGCGACCGAGTCGTCTTCTTCTCAGTCACTTCCTGGGACTCGCATGTTCGCTTGTATTGGCTAAAAAGGAATGGTTCGGTGGCACTCTCCACCCACGACTTCCCGTCTACATTATATAGAAAACAGATGGTTTTTTGTCATGGTCTACATCTATGTGTACACTCCTATGGCTAAAGCGTGCAGAACTCCATTCATGCCAAGCTGCATGTGTTTTTCGTCTGACTCTGTGCTGTTCCCCGTTAGTTTTGCCTCAGTATGTGGGAGAGCGACCTTCAGTGTCGGCTATGGGAAGCCTACTGATTGACTGTCTGATGCCGACAAATTTGCGATCAGCTGGAAAATCTGACACGTTACTTTTGAATTTGCCGGATTTTTGCTATAAAGTAGGTGGTGTTGCGAAATGCTGTGGTGTCTTTCAGTCAGCGGTGAATGGCTTACATAAGAGTTTCAGCCCTCATGTGTGATGCAGTCCCTGGTCTTCATGTCTAGCGTTAATACTAGTAAGTTGTGATTTAGAAAAGCGATCGAAGAATGGAACGAAAATTGCAGGACCCCTGCTAATTCGTTCTGCTATGTTAAGTGTCATTACAATCTAGTTTTCTCCTATTCTTCTTGGCCAATCGTTATGGTGTCGTTTTCTCAAAAGGGCTATCTTTAGTAAAAGTTGTCGCGAAGCATCCTCTTGCTGACGTTTAATCATTTTTGTCGTTCTTTGTTTATGCCAAACATGAGGAATACATCCTCGCAACTTCCCCTTCGACGTATACGTGTATTTGTTTCGTAAAGGTAGGCATCCCAAGAAATGTTATTTCAAGAAAAGGCAAAGAACACATTTTTCTCAAGTGTCGAAAATTTACTGAATAAATTTACTCATTTTCCCAAAAAACGCCTTTCCTTGAAATATACATGCATCGAAGATGTTGTATTAACTCTCCAGACGCACGAGATTATTGTCCAAACTTTTCCCCTTCCTCCTCTCTTAAACAGGAACGAGGTTCATTTCTCTTTGTTGCTAGAATTTCCACCTAATTCTCACAGTAGGATCATGGGTGGTTCATTTAACCGTTAACCTGCCCGTCCCGTTGATTTTCGTTTGCAGATATTTTATTCGCATTTTATGCCTGTTTCACGAGGTATAAGTTCATAAATGTAGCCATATTGGCAAGACAAGTGTGTGGCGAGTGTGTAAATAGGTCCGTTAGTCAAGGCCCATTTGTTAACTACACATGAGTGAGATTTCGCTGTTAGCACCGGGCTGCCTGTTCTGATGGATACTTCAAACCCGGTATACTACTGAGTACCTGTTAGTAGCTTGTAAATATTATGTAGCTCTTCCACAGTATTCGTATCAACCTTCACACCGAATCTGGATAGATTTGTACCGTAAGAGTTACTCCAAATTCATCCATTGATTTCTGTGTGAATTGACTAGCTCTTCATATTTCTCATTAAAGACTCATTTACCCAAAGGAGAACTTGGCCGATTCCAAGCATTCGTTGCAAATATGCTCATGGCTATGAGCGGTTAGCTGCTCTGCAAAAACTCGACGGTCTTCTTGAGTCGGCACCCTTCATGTTAATTACCCAGGCTTCCTTCTACCCAATTTACGACCTTACACTGACCTAGATTCTAACAATTAGCCACGGACGTTGTCAGCCCTCATCCCTATTCTTCTGCTTCTTTTTATTTCTTCGGTTTAGCGACTGACTTCCGCATTGTCT